TTTGGTGGAATCTTTTCCTTCTCTGGCATCACCTCTTTTTCCTCATGTTAAAAGTGCACTGGAGTTCAAGGTTGAAGAAAACAGAAGCTCTGTCAACTGTCAGGGGCTGGCAGACTTTGTCTTGACATCATTTTTGAGGAGAGAGACTTCCCGTCATGGTCTGCCATTGCAATAATCCACTTGCCTGCAGCTCCATTAGGCAATGAAACAAGTTGTCCAACTGTGGTTGGAGGGGGTTAATCTGACAGCAGCTCCTCTGTAAAAGGGCTCAGCTGCCACCATCCAAACCCTTTGAAACCTCTGTCAGTTTATGGCGACTTCAGACGACCCTTTCTCCCTGACCCTTATTGATTCAGGTCTGCACCGCGCCCTCTTCAACTCCCTAACCACCCACTCACACACACATGCTGTCTCCAAAGAACCCAGGCCCTCGAGCTACCACACTGGGGTGCCATAATGTTTCAATTACTGATGCCTGTCATTGTTCGAGCGTGACAGGAGACATCCATCTGAGCAGTGTGGCTCCACAGTTATATATTTTAGAAAACAGAAATCATTCACAAAGTCTTTAAGATACTACTAAACCTGCATACATCAATACTGTAATGACTGTGACAAAGGAGAACGTGTGGTGACCAGCTTGTGGTTGTTTATATGTTTGGCTGAGGTGGAAAAGTTGGTGCATCAGTAAAGTGCAATGGAAACAGACCTGGTGATTAAATCATGATATACATGAAACAGTGACAAACATCCACTGAAGCTTCTGTTGAAGAGACAAGAACTATGTACGTGTGGAGCAATGAGGAGGCGATAACCATGTGACTGTCACTGACATGGGAGCCATGAGTTTCCTTAACCCCCCCCCCATACATCCGACACAAACATACTGTGGCTCCATTTGTTTCTGCGGAGGGGTCAGAGGTCACAAACTGCCTTCTAAGCAGGTGGAGGCTCCGTGTCTTGCTCCACTTCAGAGATGGAGCAGGGCGATTTATACCGATGTGGCAGCCTTGGATAAGAAAAGATAAAGAGACAAGGTCATTACTTTAACTGCCCTGTAACCCAGTCTTTGAGTCTGACAACGAAGTGTGTGACTTGAAAGCCTCAGTGCCGGGTCAATGCTGGCCTCAGGCAGCGCGGCGGGGCCCTCGCTCTTCCTGAGCTCATGTAACTGACTGGTTGCTCGTCCATCAGTAGCTCAATTTTGCGAAAACTCATCTGAAAAACTCAATTCCTCTGGAGATCAAGGACCCTGGTTCATTTGAAATGAGCCCCATGCAGGCATTTGGGAAAATGGTTTTGCTAATTAAAGCTTATGTGTTGTTATTTTTTTTAAACCACAGATGATTTATTATTGAAAATTGAGGATTTTTGTCCAAACAAAGCTCTTAATATGACTCACGATGTAAAAGCAATCCCATAATGTGTTTCAGTTTAATGCCAGCCGTCATTTTGTTTAGAGTGGGTGTCAATTTTCTGAAAATGGCAGCAGGTAAAGTCCTCATTTAGGCTTTTTATGTAATTGTCGTACAGTAAATGCTGTCATACTGTGGTACATTGTAACAAGGTCTGAATTTGTGCTTTGGTCGCTACAGCAGCTGATCTGCTCTATTAGGACTCAGCCTGAAAAACACAAATGCATTGATCATTAAAGCTGCAGAGAAAGCTCCAGAAGTGTTCAGTGTTTACCACCTTGACACCACCTAAGCTTCTAGTTTATTACGATGCTCATCTTAAGAGTCAGATGATCAGAGAGGCAGCAAGCGTAGTCACTTAGAAGAGAAAATTAGGGCGAACAGTAAACCAACGCTGACCTCCTGTACGTACAGTATTGGTGAGGGATTATCATCAACATTTCAGGTGAACTCACCTTCAGTTTTACCTCTAAGTAAAGGGTTTAGATAAACTAGCTTCCCAGATCAGTTTTTTGGTTTTGTCAGAACCAATAGAAATGAAAACTAGGAAAAATGAACCTAAATGAACCTTTCAAAGGAAATGTAAGGAGATTATTTGTGTTCCTGTGTGCTCCTGTACATTCTGGTTTCACCACTATGCCCTGGTGTCTGAGTGAGAACCCCACCGCCCACTCCCCCGCTCCATGGCTCAGGTGTTCCTCTGTGTGACCTTGCAAGGTTTCTTTCAGTGATTCGTCATGCCTCGGCTGGGCTGCTGTGCCGGCGTGTGCCAGCTCACCGAGGAGGGCCGGGCCTGCTCACCAGACGGCCGCTCGGCCTGACAGCCCGCCACTGTCAGCCAGGGGCCCGGGAGTCACCGTCGGCCCTGGCAACCAGCCCCCAGCCCCGCCCCATCCAGAGACAAGAATAGGCAGTGAACCCCCACCTCCTTCCTCTCTGCAGGCTTTTCATTAGCCACAGTCATCAGGAGGTGAGGACTGAATGAGGCAAGTGGAGGGGTCCAAACACACACACACACACACACACACACACACACACACACACACACTCTCACTGTGTCAGAGCCAGTGTTTAACTGCATTTAATTATACTTCTGCTGTATTTAATTACACCAACGGCATCTTATTCTCTCCGTCCTATTTACTTTTAATTGCTGTATTGTCAGTTATTTGCCACTTAAATGTGATGCTGTATTGTTCACTTTGTAACAATGTGCTTTAAAGTACTATATAAATAAAGTTAGAAATATTATTAATATTATTAAAGTTGTGAAGGTCACAACATGGAAACAAACTAACTAACAACTCCTCTACTGTTTTCTGACCAGTGACACTAGATGTGATTCAGCTGCACAGTTAGAGCAGCTCCAGACTTGTTCTTTGAAATGACAGAATCAAGTCTAAAATGATAAAACCCTTCACACACGTACAAAATGTGCTCTTCTTGCCCACACATACTGTAACAGCAGTTAATGGCGTCTCAACATTAGCCGATAAGGACTGAGTAAAACGTCATAATTATGCTTTTTTGGCTGCCATTGTTTTTACATTTATACATACTATGTTTCCTACTGTCTCATATAAAGTACCATAACTAATATTCACAATGTTTAAAAGTTACATTTTTTATCGTAGGAAAATGTCACAATGTTTTTTTAAGTGATAGAACTACAGTATTGTCATTATTAGTACTGCTAGTATTACTTAATTTGTTTCCATGGACTATTTAGTGTCCAATGCACCTTAACATCGTTATTATTATGGGTGTTATTGCAGATAAACTATAGTAATAATCAGCTTTAATATGGTTTGAGTATCAATTGGCTGAATGGTAAAATAAAAGTAGCAGTTGACTGAGTGTATGTGTGTGTCCAGCAGACGGGATTCAGGCTCATTTGCATAATTAAAGCTCCTGCTTCCCGCAGCGGTGCAGAGGGGAGCTGCTGTGACCTCTGATGACCTTTCTTCAGCTGCAGCAGTGAGCAGCTCTGACACCATCACAGCCAAAAACTACAACCAGAGCCGCAAACAGTCACACTTGATTACACGTTCCATCAGTTGCGTAGATGCTTTATACTGAATTGAGTGAACTGAATTGTGAACGGCTCCATCATTGACACTGAAAGCTACTTTCTTTAAGGAGAGGTCATTACAGAGTGAAAATACATTAAATATCTACTGCAGAAATAACATCTAAGATTCTCCACATTGTCTGATAAACCCAGTGACACTGGGACAGGATGTGGTGTCTCTATTCCAGCTTCTCCACCCTGCGTTGTCAAAGTACGGTCTGTAAATCAGCCCCGCCTGCTGCCTAGCCAAGGTTAGCAGAAAGGTTTTTCCAGCCAGTAGTCATGTCAAACAACCATGGAGGAGCTCTGGGCAACTAAAAGCCTGAACCAGTGCTCATTTCCACATCCAGAATTTGTGGATGAATCTCGGTCTAGTATTCCCCCCTCTTTTAATTCTGGTTTTGGTCTCCTCCACCTCCCAAGGGAAGTTTCACCAGCTCATCTCTAACTGTGACTGTCTGCTGTTTGCTGCTGAGCCCTCCTCCGGCCCCTCGGTGTGGCTGCATCCTGCTTGCCTGCTGTTTATCCAGCGCTACTGGTTTGTGGGAGGACG